CCGCAACGAAGTCGCCGTTCTTGTAGTAGGAGATGCGGCCGCCGCCTGGGATGTCCAGCACATCGAGGACTCGGCCGCGAGGTCCACGCGATGCGCCGCCACTCGAGGATGATGAGCTCGAAGAACTACTGCTAGAAGAAGATCTCGAACGGGCAGCGGGCTCGGCTGGCTCGGGCGGTGGCGGCGGAGCTGGCTCGGGCGGGGGCGGCGCGCCCCCTGGATGTACAGCACCTTCGCCCCCTCCGCCGTCGTGTCCACCAACGCATTCGTCGCCCCCTCCGCCGTCGTGTCCGCCGCCGTGTCCACCGCTCTCGTCACCGCGGCTTGACTCGAGAACCCCAAGGTGGTGCTTCACCAACTCCCACATATCGGGCCCCTCATCAGAGTCCTGATCGGAGGCCGATTCAGCGCCCTCCTCCTCATTCTCGCCCTCGGTGTCGCCGTGGCCCTCTGCATTGCCTTCGCAGCCGCTGCCCTCGTCGGGTTCGTCGTCCTCCAGCGCATCGGCGGTCGGCTCCTTTGGCCCAGCGGGCTTCGGTGCATCGTCAGCTTTGCCTCTGGTTCGCTTGCGCCTCCGCACGGGCCACGCGTCGACCTCGCCGTCGGGCAATGGCAATGCCTCCACTGGGACCAACGTAACATCGAAGAGCCCCGCGTGCTCGCACGTATCCACCAGCCGATACAAGCTGCAAGTCCACGAACATAAACGATCCAAGTTTGAGAACAAAGCCCACTCGTAGAAATACCTGCGTTGCGCCCGCAGCCAGACGCACGGGGTCTCGCCGTCCACGGGTTCCTGCAGCAACTCGTGGAACTCAGGCTGGTACGGGCTCAGAAGCAAGAAGCCGATATGAAACCAATATACGCCGTGGCTGAAACTGTAGGCCTCAGGGGGGTCGCCATCGTCGTCCGCGAGCGCAGAGTCGACCAATGCTGATTGGGGCGGCTTGACGCCCTGCAGCCTCAGCACCAAGCACGCATCCTTCAGCAGCTGCACGTTCGCAGATTTTCGTGGACATATCCTCTTCAGGGCAGATATTACAGAATTTCGCAGGCTGGCCACGAGCTTCCCATCCTCCGAGCACACGCAGTAGCCATACCCTCTGCACTTCTTGTTACACTCGCTCCTCCGTTCAGGCTCTTTCCACTGAGGCTGGTCGTCGTGCTTTATCAGCCGATTCTTCTTGGCCCAGTCGCGCTTCAGGATGCATCCCAAGTTGGAGCTTCGCCTGTTCCCCATTACAAACGAAGCGATGTCACTCGCCTTCTTGGACAAGTCGAACATGACCTCATAAGTCTCCAAGCCGCTCGAGGGGAGCGGCTGCAGGGCAGGCTGGCAAGGTGCCAGCGTAGGGCCCAACTCGACGAGGTTCCGAAGCCGATCCGCCCCGTGCTGCGCGCCCCACGCGTCGAGAATGTCTGTCGAGGCATCCAGTTTCTTATTCTTGGACGCCATGAGCTGCTTCGCCGCGGATCGAGCGGCCGTCCGATGCTTGTCAACATCTGCGTCGCAACCCGATGGAGAGAATGTGCCCCCAAGCAATGGTAAGACAGATATGGTGGATTCGGCTCCGCTGCAATACCTATCAACAAGTGCTTTCATAATCTTATTACTTGTGAACCTCTGAACGTCCCGTGTAGTCGGGCCGAATGAGGCGCCGCCTGCCCTGTGGCTGCGGGTCCCCCTCGCGGCCGCGGCTGCAAGACGCATCTCCTCTGGGCCAGTCTTGCCTCGGGCCCTGTACAGCTCGCCAATCCGTCGAAGGTCTGGGCGCTCAGCAGTGCCAATGGAATGGTGTCTTACGAAAGCTCTCCACTTCCCTCCCCCGCCCATGTTTTTCTTGACTGATTTGGAATGCTGGCCCGATCTTTCACGTCCTTTCGCTTTGGCTTCACGACTGCTCTTCAATGCCCGATGCGTCGCGATGACGATCCGCCCGCAACGCTTCAACCGTACCCTGAACTTCTGGCACATGACCTGCGCGTTCACAAAATCGAAATTCGCACGGTTCGTGTTGACGCTCTGCGCATCCACGTGCCTCTTGAAAGATGAGTGGTCGTGCTCGCATTTAACGTTCTCCACGTGCGTTATCTGGGCCACAGTGATCAACTTCGCGATGCATTCCTCGTTGCCTAGCGCGTCTCCTGGGTACGATTCCAAAATATGATCCGAGAAGACATCCCGCAAGCAGCGCGGTTGGTCCTGCAGCTGTTTGGCGCAGTCCACACCCAGGATCAAGGCGAAGAGGGCAACGGGGAACTCGTCCGCAGGCTTCACAAGATAATGGTTCACCAAGCAACCAGACCTTGACAACATCCTGAAACACACTGACCGAAATGCAAACGTACGAGACTGCAATGGGATGAAGTCCCACACTCTGGAGTCCCACGCATTGTCCAAATCCTCGAAGAACTCCTTCCCGTACACCAGCCCAGCGTACGTCGACAAACGGAACTGCCTTCTGTCCGACGTCTGCGGGTCCAGCTGGTGAGCTGCTTCCGCACATCTCTGACGGAGTTCCCAATCTTCCCCTGCGCTGAACAAGTATGCCTCCATCAACTCTCTCCACGGCTCCATCGTGACCCGAATCGCCATCAACTTGTGGAGAGGCTCCGTCTCCACCCATTTCAACGTATTCTTCTTGTCCGTCTCATTCTGTTGGCGCCATGTCGGCGCGTGTCCGTGTTCCGCGGCCTGCGCTGCAGCGGCGCCCATGGGCACCTCGCCGCCCGCTGGGGAAGCCGACCGCGGCCCGCCGCCAGCGCGGGGCCGTCGGTCGGCAGGCCGACTGTCAGCCGCGCGGTCACCCTCGCGCATACCGTCGCTCGGGCCCGCGGCAGACTTCACGAACAACTGGTAGGCTGGAAAAAGAAGCCCGTGTATGCAAGCAGCCAAACCAATCTCATCAATGGAAACGTCCGCGCCCGTCCAGCGATGACGAGGGTAGGTGCTGAATGACTTCCCCAAGCAAACAAAGTTCAGACAACGTACAACATTCTTCTCCACCTGTCTTCGAACCGTGGCTGGGATTGGACCTTCACCATCGATGTACACAACGAATTTGGAGTGGTCCTGCCACGGGCCGTTCAGAATAGTTTTGGCCACGTGCGCCTTCTCACCGTGCTTCTGCCCCTTGGTCAGGAAGAGGTTCAGCATGGTCTCCCGATACTCCTCGTCCAACGCAGTTGGCCTCCCTCGCTCCACCACCAATCGTTTGCGAGCCACGGTGGTGAATGCGCGCCTGAAGGAGCTCATGGCCGATGCTGATGATACTGACAGTGATAGTTGTATGGCTCCAGTGATGTCATCTTTTACCAAGTCGTATGTTTTGGTGTGGCCTGTCGCAACCTTGTGAACATTACACGGCATGTGCAAGTTGACCCATCCATCGTCGCGGTCCGCCAGCATGCCCCTCTCGGTCATATAATTCGCTGATGCGGCATCTGTGGTTGCAATTCGTAGCCGTGTGTCGTAATGGTCCGCGTCAATGAACGTGCCGCACGTCTCGATGAGCGCCTGCTTTGAACACTTAGCCGTGCCGCGGTCTACAACCTGGGTCCATGTCAGCGTGGGGCCGAAGAAATTGACGAGCCGTCTGCGCTCGCCATCCTTAATACTGATCAGAGCGGCCCAACCATGTTCTGAACCAAACAGGTGTGCTCGATTCGGAGTCTGGCCATCCTTGGCGAGTGTCGCAGACTCCAACTCTTTGCTAAGGGCGAGGTCGGGCGCTATGTCCATGAGAGCCTCCGTGTTAGATGTAGCGTCCAGGAGTGGCACAGCCGAGTCCGCATCATATCGTTTCAGTCCAACGTTGAGCTCCGTAGCGTCGTACCTTGAGAACTCCACGAAAAGCAGCAACGACGTGGCATCTCTACGGATGCTTTCGTTGAGCAGTTGGAGCGCACAGCGGTCGCAATGCACGAGACAGCTTGCAATCATCTCGACGGTCTCGCCATGACGCCTCCTGTCGCCACCCACGATCATGGAGCCAGCAGCCCTTGAAACAATCTTCGGGGGGCGCTCAATGTCCAAGACGTTGTCGGCTACTGTCGCCGTGGCCTCACAGTGGTATCGTGGGCCGTCGTCGCGAGGTCGTAGTGAGATCACGTCGAACGAGCGGCGAAGCGGGGCGATCGCGAAGCCTCTTAGAGGCCCCTCCATCGACGATGCCTCCCTCACCGTCGGGTTCCACAGCCTGCGTCGGTCAATCGGCGACCACGGGACGAGCTGGAAGAGCAACGGCGAGCCACGATCTGCGCCATCGACGCCCATGGCGCCATCGACGTCTGTGGCGCCATCTGCGCCATGATCTGCAAGGCCATCGACGTCCATTGCGCCATCGACGTCAGTCGCCTCATCTTCATTGCCAGAGTCGCCAAGGGCGAACGCAAGCCAAGCGTCGGACATGGCATGGCCGACAAGTGAGCAAACGAGCGAAACAGTTTGAGCCAAAAGTGGCGACGGTGCAACCCATGAATGCCTATGTGCACTTACATGTTGCTGCTATGTTTCCTGATCCTCCTCCTCCTATTCCTTGCTCTCCTCCCCGTCCACCTCCTCTAGGCCCTACCCGTCATCCCCTCACCTATCTGTTTGCTCGCCCTAACAGCGGCCCGCGAAGATATCCTCCGACCCCACTGGGCCCCCCCAAGCGTGAGAAGGACAAGAGGGCCTCATCAAGGGCCCCAGGGCGCATTGGAGGGCGCACGGCTGTCGACCGCGCGCGTTTCAATGGCGTTCCTCCGAGGGCCTCTGAAACAACCTGGTGGGCCAACAATGCTGGGCCCGAAGGCGACCTTGGTATGGTTTGATATGGCGTGTTGAACTGCGGTGTGAATCAATCTGGATTCGGCAATGTCGGGCCGCGTAAATCTTTTCGCTGGCGTTTGAACTCAAACGCTCAACTCAACTATTTTTGAAAAGCGCTCAACTCAAAACGCAACTTGTTTATGGTTTTCAACGAACGTCGGTTTCAACTATGTTTCCGACTCGTTTCCTAACTCCGCAGGATTTCGCCGATCAGGCCTCTGTAGGAGGCGTTTGGCTCCTCAAGCCTCGACACCCTCCTTGCGATCTTATTCTGCAATTCCCAGGCCCTTTCCCGTAGCTCCGCCTCGGAAATCGCAGGTGCGACGACCTCGTCAAGCGGCGGCCACCTGCCTGATGGGCGTGCAGTGCCAATGACGGGCAGGCCGTGCGCGAACTCGTCGATGTAGCTGCTGTCCGCAACGTTTGCCGCGGCAGCAAGCTCTCGGTAAAGTGCAAGGCGCACGAAGTCGCCAAGCTGCAAGTCTCTGCGTCGAGCCCGCGTGTTCTTCAAGAACAAATTCCTGATGAACGGGTCCGGCACGTTGTAGATCTCGTCCAGGCTGCGCTCCTTCAGCTCCGTGGCACGTTGCTTCCAGAACTCGTGCGCTGTCGCCTGGAACTTGCCGGCGGTGCCGCTCACCAGTCTCTCGACGCACTGCTGCTCGGCGTCCGTCAACGAGACGTCCACGTCAAGAGGGTGCTGCACTGCCAGAGCCCTGCGGATCGCCTCGCCCGGCTCCAAATCCACCGGGAAGATCGGAGGTACCAGGCCCAGGGTCTGCTGGTACCCCGCGCCGACCGCAACGTGCCCGGACTTCCGCCTTGTGCTGTCTGGCCAGCGAACTGGTTCGCCCACTTTGCGTTTCCGGCTGGCCGTCTTGAGGCCGAAGAAAACCTGGAACTGGACGATTTGACCGTCGCTGTGGTTGCCCTGCTCCAGCAATTCCAGCAGCACGTCTGCGTGGCACGGGACGTCCGCGTCGCAGTGGCAGACCAGAATCTTGCCCCGTAGAGTGGGCAATTGCCGAAGCAGGCCCGGTTGTTGGAGCAAGAAGCGCCTGTACTTTTCGACGCACGCCTCCCTGGAAGAGCTGTGCCCCACTTTGAACGGGTTCGCCCAGATGGACCCCCGTAGACCGTGTGCTCGAGCAGACTGGCAGTCCCGTCCCTGCCCACGTACACGTGGTCCTCGGTCATGGCATCAACGTGCGTCAAGTTGACGCGCCCACGCACTCCGGCAAAGTCCCGCCAAATAAACTCGGCGATCTTCCGCGACAGGCTCTGCGGGTAGACCAAGTGCAACTTCTTGGCTCGGGTCCATTGCAGGATCTTATCCAAAACTGTAACGTCGGAGACGTCGGTCGATTCGTGGCCCAGCGTGGCTTCGAGGTCGACGGGAGGGAGACACGGCACCCTACGATGCATTAGTTCATGAGTCGCATTCGCCTGGCCGCCGAAGACCTCCAAAAAAAGTATGGGGCATCTTCTGGCGGCGTCGGCGGCACCTCGGACCACGTGCGCCACGGCATGCACGAGTCATGCGGCAGGGAGCTGCAATCAGCAACAGGCCTGGAACTGGCCAGGCCTATCGCTTCACCAGCGCTGCCCGCTGCATGCGTTACGCCGCGCTCTGGCCAGGCCTCGCTTCAGCCAGTGTAGTGATTGTCGCACCACTTGTGGCCAGCGCCGCACAGCCAACACACGTGCTTGAACTTGCACGCGCCGCCGTCTTTGCAGCCGCCGGACAGGTTCCAGAACTTGCACGTCTTCGGCGCCTTTGCTGGGCCACAGCGTTGCAGCGCACGCCACTCGTTCTCTGGCACCCTCCTGGTGCCACCGGCGGCTGGCTGACGGGTCTGGCCGCCGCCTGCTGCTCCTGCCGCTGCCGCCCGCTCGGACTTCTGCTGCTGCTGCTGCTGCCGCTGTCGTTGTCGTTTGGGGCTGCTCTTCGAAGGCCCGTCCGCCGGCCCCGCGGCGCCTCCGGGCGTCGCCTCGCCCGCCCCCCTCTCGCGCTTATGGTTGCGCTGCTGGGTCGCCCCGGGCCTCCGGCGCGGCACTCGCTCCAAATGTACCAGTGGTTGTGGAAGACCTCCCACATGGCAGCGGAATACGACGGGAACGTCGTCCTGCTCTCCACCAGCAGCTCGTGGACCTTCTTGCGGAAGTGCCGGTCGACCAACAGAATGTGCTGCAGTCCCGGCGTCTCGCGCCGCCGCGCCTCCAGCTCATTCAAAAACGTCAGCGGCCCGCCTGTGATGTCGTTGGTCTCTGGCTTGCCTGCAAAGAAAGCGAACTTCACGTGGCCCTGGTACTCCAAAGCGATGTAGAACGCGTGGATCCTGTTGATGGCGTCGTCCTCCAAAACCACCGTCGCTGGGATGTCCTCGCGAGCCGCCTTGAGCAGCTGCTCCGCCGAAAAAGCCAAACCGCCCCTCTGCGCAATATACTCGGACTTCACGCGCACCTCCCCGAGCTCATAGGGAGGGACCACTTCGTGGATAGTGAAGTCGCGGTCCAACCTCTCGATGAATCGCTTGTGGGGCTCGCGGAACTCTGTGAGCAGGACGTCCGGGTGCAGAGCGACAAAATTGATCTTCTTCTGGCCGTGCTCCTGGATGCCCATCTCCGGGATGCGATGCGGGTCCTCCTCAAGGCGCGCGCGCCTTGCATCGCGCCCCTCCGCCAGGGCACGGCACTTTCGCCACGCGGCCGAAAGGAAGATCAAGTTCGCCTCCCTCGTCGGGCTGTTGTCCGCGCCCAGGGCCTGCTCGTCCAGGAGCCTCGCGATGTTCGTTTTGAAGCTTTCCAGCGTCTCCGCGACCGCCGCCCAGGTGTCGGCGTCCAGCAAGCCCTTCGCGGCAACCGCCAACCGAAGGTCAGGCGGCACGCGGGCGCGCGCCAGAATCTGCCGCACGGCGAGTTCTGGCGTGCCTTCCAACGCGGGGTACGCTGTCGAGTCCACCATGGTGCCCGCCTGGGAGCGCGCGCACGGCCGTTGCAGACGCAGCACCTGAAACGGCTGCAGCATGCCATGTCCGCATTCGCGCGTGCAAAGGCTGATGCGCGTGCGCACGCGTGCAGGTGAACCTGGCGCCGCCCCCTTGCAGGCGCCCCGTCGCGCGCCTGGGCACCGCCTGCGCGGCAATTTCCAGGCGCGCGACCCTCGTTCGACGCGCCCCAGGGCAGCCCCCTCGCAGGCTTTCCTGGGACGCGCCTGGGCCAGCATGCGCCGCGGCCCCCTTGTAGGCCTGCAGCCGCCGCAGGATGCCTACCACGCGCGCGTGTCCATACGCGTCATTTTGGGAACGCCCGAAGTGGCACATTTTGTGCCCCGGGCCCTGTGGGAGGCTCTCGGCGGGGCGCAACCGTCGCAAGAGCCCGCGCGGGCGCCCCCTGGAAAGCACTGGCGAGTCGCGGCTGATGCGACGCCAAACCTCGCATGCCTGAAGTGATCCAAATTTTCCTGGTGACCTACATGCAAACATGTTTGCACTTAGGCTGGCTCCCAAGGTGGATCCGGGACGCACCGATTCCGTGACATTTAGTTTCTGCGCCGGACCTTCAGGAGCTCGAACACGCAACGAAAATGTCACGAATTTCGGTGCCCGTACTCGTGTTCGTCATCTCTCCCCTTCCCCGCGCGCCTCAGGGCTGCCCCCTCGCAGGCGTCCCTAGCGCGCGCGGTTTGGGCACGCGCTGTTGCTGTATGCGCCAACGCGCGCCGTGGCCCCCTTGCAGGCCTGAGGCCGCCGCAGGTTTGCCCCCCTTGCGGGCTCCCCTGCGCCGCTAAGCCGGGCGCGCACCCGGGCACCGCCTTGATGGCAGTTTCCAGGGCGCATCGCCGGATGCACCCCGGGGCAGCCCACTCGCAGGCATTCCTGGGGCGCGCGCCCCGGCCCCCTTGCAGGCCTGGGGCCGCCGCAGGTTTGCCCCCCTTGCGGGCTCACCTGCGACGCTAAGCCGGGCGCGCACCTGGGCACCGCCTTGATGGCAGTTTCCAGGACGCAGCGCCGTGCGCACCCCAGGGCAGCCCCCTTGCAGGCTTTCCTGGGGCGCGCGGTCGCCCCCATGCACTTTTGGTGCGCGCGCACATGGCTTGTGAGGCAGGTTTCGCTTGTCTGCCCTACGGGGTGGCGTAATGGCTGCCCGAAGGGTCCCATCGAAGACTCTGCAGGAGCATATGCCATCACACGCAAGATGTGGGAGAGATTGCGTTCAGACAATACTTTGGTGCATTCTGTCGGCACCAATGCGGCGGACAAATCGCGCCCCCCCTTGGATTCCCGGGCGGGCGGCAAGCCGACCGGAAAAAGGGGCTCAAACTTGCAAACTTGTACCGACAGAGTTTGTGCATGCGGCACTGTCGCACAGCAAGTCCTGACCGACCGTGCGCCTGGGTGATAGCTCGGCGTTTCTGAGAACAGGCAGGTCCGGAGTGGCGGGTAGCCCAAAGTCGGGCCGCCGCCGGTGAAGCGAGGAAGACGAACGCTAAATGATACATACATAAGGTGCACAATGCTACAAACCTGACTGATGTTTCCTCCCCTCTCTGTCTCTGTCTCTGTCTCTCTCTCTCTCTCTCTCTCTCTCTCTTTCTCTCCCTTTTCCCTTTTTTTGTGCATCCCAGGGCAGCCTCCTCGCGGGCTTTCCTGGGGCGCGCGGGCTGAGGCATGCGCCCTTGCTGCATGCGCCCGCGCGCGCCCTGGCCCCCTTGCAGGCCTGGGGCCGCCGCAGGTTTGCCCCCCTAGCGGGCTCCCTTGCGACGCTAAGCCGGGCGCGCGCCTGGGCACCGCCTGAATGGCAGTTTCCAAGACGCAGCGCTGGACGCACCCCAGGACAGCCCCCTCGCAGGCTTACCTGGGGCGCACGCTCACGCCCGAGGCCCACGGCTCCCTTGCAAGCCGAAGTGCCGCCACCGATTAAGGCGACGTTCAAGACGGATGCCTCGGAGCCGTTGCGCCGCGGATTCTGCGTTCCCCAAGCTCTGGAAGCATGAGTTGATTAGCTCCCGCACGAAAGTGGGATGCCCGAGGCGCGCACGCGCTCAATCATACCGCTCTCGTGCATTATTCTTTATTTCCGCATCTTTCCCTGCCGAGCATGGAGCAAGATGAGGGAGCTGAAGAGAGGGGGGGGGGATGGGAGGAGGTTTCCTCCTCTCTCTTCCTCTCTCTCTCTCTCTCGTTCTCTCTCTCTCTCTCTCTCTCTCTCTCTCTCTCTCCCTCTCCCTCTCTCTCTTTTTGTGTTTGCTTTGTTTTGTTAGCCCCAGGGCAGCCTCTTTGCGGGCTTTCCTGGGACATGCGCTCGCTGTCATGCACTTTTGGTGCATGCGCGAGTGTGCGTTCTGGCCCCCTTGCAGGCCTCGGCCGTCGCAGATTCGCCCTCCTTGCGGGCCCCCCATGCGACGCAGCGGGCAGCCCCCTAGCAGGCTGCCCGGCGACGATGCGTCACCGCCTTGAGGACGCGTCGCCAGGTCGCCGCGGATGTGCCTAAGACGCCGCCCCCTTGCAGGCAGCGCCTGCCGCGCCAGGCGCACGCGGCGGCCGCCTTTTCCATCATTCACAGCCAATCTCTGGCGGGCGCCTCGCCCTCCGGCCCCGCTGCCGCCGCCTCGGGGCGACAACGGACGCACCTATCGCATAAGCGGCCGCGCTCAAGCCAATCTGAGCCTAAAGGCACGCACTGAGCCAGCGGGACCGCGTTGCAGGCCAGCTGGTTTGGCTTGTCGAGGGACACGACGTGGAACTGGTAGTTGCTGTTGGGGTAAATCTCCGCCTTCTCGCTCACCCAGAAGCACAAGTCGGTCACGTCGTAATCGGACTCCATCTCCACATCGACCTCCATGGGGTGCGTCTCCGTGTCCGCGAGCTGCGCAGACGCGGCCCTGTCTGCATCCGCGGCGCCGCTATCCACGACAGCCTCGCTTTGCGTGCCCGAAGTGCCCGCGCCCTCTGTGGCGAGAGCCCCGCTCAGATTTTCCTCGATCAGCTTATCCGCTGCGCCGGCGAGCTCCATCTCCCAGTTCTGGCGCATGGCGCGCGCCATGCTGGAGATGAAATGTACGGGGATCTGCTTGCGGTCCCTGATATACTTGGCAGGCATCCTCGTGTCCCGCCAGTTCCCCTGCAGCTGCATCGTGGTGACCTCAGCGCCGGCGTGGGCCATGAGGGAGATCGCCGTCACCCTTGGGGAGTGGGCTGCGGTTGCCGTGGTTTGGTCCCATATGGCCGACACAGCCTCTGACGTGAAATTCAAAGGGTTCTCTGCCAATGCCAGAGCGGCCAACTCAAGCAGCATGCGCACGAACCTCTTGCTGGTGAGGGGCACGTCGAACTGCATTTCATCCACCGTGCCATCAACCAGCGAGAAATCAGACAGTAACGCCCCCGTAGGCAACATCGCCTTGTAGAGCTCTAGCCCTTCGGTGACCCAGTCCACTTCCGTGAGCGTGGCTTTGCAAACTGCGAACTTCGCGCCGCGCCTCTTGCGCTCGACCTTGGTCTGCCATGCCACAAACCGTACTGCATTGCCCACGTCCTCGATGCTGTCGGGGCGAACGTGCAAAGCGTCGACGAAGCGCATGCTGCCCCACGTCATGCAGAGCACTTTCCACGCCCGTACCGCCCGAACGCGGAAGCCATTTGCCCTCCACGCGATCACGCTCAATTCCAAGACACGCAACAAGTCAACGTGCAACGGCGCCGCTTCCTTCAGCTCCCGGCCGACTTTGTCATGCACGCTGCTCTCGATGGCCAGAAACGCGGACGTTGCCGCATCGGGCACGGGCATGCCAATGCGCCGAGCCACCCACGTAACAGTGGCGCGGAAGGCTGGCAGCACTGATGGGCCGCAGCGCTGGCCCCGATGTGCAGCGTACGCAACTAACAAGGCATCGCTCGGCGGGTACACGATCGACTTATTGGCGGCCCACCGTTCGAACCGCTCCCAGTCGAGCACGTGTCCCTTCAGCGTGGAACACGCCCCTCGCGCCAATACCGAATACAGCAGGTCCTGAAGGTTCATGTCCGCCATGTCCGCGGCAGGCCGTAGGTCCGCCACAACAGGCGCCGCCTCGCCTGCCCTGTCGACGATGGCCAAAAGACGCCTGACCCACCGCTGCTTCGCATCGGCTTCGGCCTTGCGCAAGGAGAAAGCGCCAGACTCGTCCCTTGGAGCTCCCAGTCCGCGTCGCGTGCTGCAAGGTGTCCTGGACCGCGCCTCTCCGGCCCGCCTGGCGCACGCCACGCTGTGCACCTCGCACTTGTCGGAGCGGCGCCCAATGTGCAAGGTCTCGCGCAATTCCTCCTCGTTGTCCGCTGCCGCTTTTGGCGCCATAGCTTGAAAAACAGCGAACAAGTAGTCTAACTTCTCGGCCTGCGCCGCAATCAATGCCGGCCATCCGTCAGCAGGTTCAGGCTTGCCCTGCGACAGGCAGACCAAACCTTTGCGAAAAGCGTCGCTGTCGCTTTCGCTGATGGCCAACACCATGTCGATTGAATCCACTCCTACAGGTTCCAAAAGTTGCTCGAAGGCTTCGCCGCCCTGCACGACATGCAAAACACGAATCCACGAGCTCTCCATGGCCTGACGATTTGCGGTCGGAGCAGGGCGCGCGCGGCCTGTTTGGAACTCTGGAGCCCAAAATGGCAATTGTCGCGCGCGCCCTCCCGAGCATTGGCCCGCTGGGCCCTCCCCACCAACCGATGCCCAGCCACCGGGAACGACAGGGCTGCGTGTGTTCCCTTCGTTTTGCTTTTTTTTCTTTTTCCCAACCCTCCTGCGTTGGGTTCTCGTTTTGAATAGAGCACTGTGGTCTCCACTCCTCCCGCTCCCTCTCCTCCTCTCTTCGTTCCTGCTGTCCTCTCTTGCTTCCCTTCTCCTCCTCCCTTTGCTCCTCCTCTTGTCTCTTGCCTTTTACGTCATCTCTGGGGGGCTGCGATCTGCGGAACTGTCACCACTTTCGAGGGCTGCTGG